TGTAAGAGAAAAAAATTTACATGTGCAGCTTTTCTAAGTAGACTTTGCCTTCATATTCAAGTTCCAATTGTACATCAAAGCTTTAATTTTAAATTCAGTAAAGACGCCAGTTTAATCTCAAAAGAATATGATGTCTTAGAAGTTAAAACATTAAGTGCAGCTAACAGCAATCTGTAAGAGATTCTGCTTTTGATATAGCTGTTTGTAATGAGAATCACTGAAGTTACTCAACAAGCATTACCTGTTATCTTCAGTGACTTGTGAAACCTTCTACTGATTGTACAGAAACTAAGGCTTTTGCTTGAATTTCTGCATAACCATCTAGAAAGATCACTAATTGCTATAATACCTCTTGTTTGTTCCCATAGCAACTCTCACTTCTACTTTTTCTCCCCTTGTAATTCCATTTTCTACAATGTCCCAGTAAAATAACTTCCTAGAAGGCATATTATTGTCCTCCTACTCACAATAAAGCTAGGCCCTTAACTACTGCCTTAATATTTACTGCTACTTTCCCACATACATTTCCCTGCCTCATAACATAGTGAAGATACAAAGATGACATACAGCATTGTAACCCTTAGCTGTGTAAGATGTGTTTGATTTACTTCCCACTATTTCAAGGGTGTAAATGTTAGTCCTCATGTGGATCATTCCTGCCTCTGTTTTCAAAATAGAAAGTCAGATATATTGCAATGGTTTGTAATTTTCCATTTCCCACAGATCAAAATCATCAGAAGGACAAGTATTATACAAATAGGGGAGAATGTTCATTTACAGTGTTTTCTTACATGACGCAGAAATGGAAGAACTGCTCAAACAACTGCTAAAAACTTTGCTGACCAAGCTCTGCACTTGCCAAGAAAAATCCAGCTGAAATAAAAGGCATTTCAACTACAAATTAATATTGGATGTTACTCTCTCAGAACAAGCAATCCAAGATAAGAACTGAGAGAGAACAGTGTTACGACTTTGCAAAATTAGCATGACGTGATCTAATTCAACTTCAGTAGAGCTAGGTTGGGCCACATGCCCACAGCAACATGAGTCTAACTGCTACCTCTCAAAAGTAGTAGCTGAATCAAAACTTTCTATTACTACCTTAATTAACCTGACCCAGTCATGCACTTCAATAATTACATGATTTAAAAATGGTAGCTTTCCTTAGCTAAATTTCCACAGAATTCTATGAGCACTTAAAACCGACACATATGTAGCAAGAAGCTGGCCAAGAAAGGCCAAGAGAAGATAAATCAATCTATCAGTGGTTTAGAATAAAGAAACACCAGCTTCTTTTATTGCATGAGGCAGCAGCTTCTTTGTAACCAAATTTCAGTGCTCTTACGTAACATAAGTTTTTAGGTTCTTCAAAAGCACAGCCACCATTTGTTGTTAAGAGGAAAAAAACACCTATATTGTTTCAACAACAGTATGAAACAGCAATGCTCAGCTCTTGCTGCCAGGGAATTTTCCCATGCATCCTGCAAATGCATTACCCGCCATGCAAAGATGTATACTTAACACCCAGTTGCTGTGAGATTAATTTATGCACAGTGCCAGGAATGCAGCCTTGAGGAAAAAAAGAAACCATAATTAAAAATGGCTTTGTTTTTTTGATCCTGATGTTATTTTAACTTCAATGATTAATTACAACAATATATCTATGACCCATGAGGAAGAACACTTACCTCTGTTTAAATGGTCATTACAAATGAATGAAGTTACCTTCAAATTAACTCAGAATTTGGAAAGTATTCTGTAGACACAAGGGGCAGGTAGCTTACAAGAGTCTCAAAATAAATGCTGGACAAAGACAATAGAGTAAATAAATTTCAGAACATTTACCCAAAGAAATAGCTGGCCCTTTTAAAGTGGAGTTAGAGAGTATATACAGATACTTACTGAACGTAAGATGGTGGAGCTCTTTTTGTGAAAACAGATGTAAGAATAACGAATCTACCTGGGGTAATTTCTCAAAGCACGAGAAAGTACTTCCACCCACTCTGACTGAAAAGTGAGAGCTGAGGATGCAAACTAATTCTGAAACTTCTGCATTTAAGTAGCCCTAAACTACACAGGTAAAATCTTCAGATCTGAAACGAATACCAGGCTACTTCTGCTAATTCAGGAATCAGCTAACCGAATCTTTTCATTTTTAATATCTCAAGACTGTGGTCTCTAGACTACACAGCATCCTACAGCATCTGCAAAATTCTATCTGGAGGGACAGCCAATCAATTAATAACTACTTGAATCTTTCCAGGTTACTTTTAAGATAGAACAAAATAATATTATGACTACTCAAATGTATGACTGCCTACCACCTGCAAATTAAGAAGCGGAAAGGATTAAAATTCAGGCTTCAAAAACCAGTTCGACCTCGACCTTATTTGTCATGTTTATAAGTGTTTTCTTACAAGATAGGATGGATCTTCCGTATTTGTGTTCTGACAAAATGAGAATTAACCTACACAAAAAGAACGTACTCCATTCCATGAAGATATGGTTATGATACAAATTTTTTTTATATTCTAAAAGACATAAAAATTAAGCGTAATTTTTGTGAGAAGACTTTGTGAATTTTATGAGAACAATGGTTTGTTGTATTTAACATGTCTAAAAATTCTGATTAACTTCTAGTCTTGAAACATCTATATTCTAGCTACATCTTTCAACGAGCTACTGTTATTTGTCCTATGTAACAACCAAGTGATCATACAAATTCGTATTTTATTCTTTTTCGGGGGATAGCTTTATCTCAAGAGTTTAACAGTTTGCACAGATCCTACAGATTGACTGTTGGCTGAAATCATTAGGCTTCATACAATTAATCACATACTATTCAAACATGCCTTGAAATTTATAGCATCATCAAGATAAATACAGTTCTATCAGTCCAAGAAGCTTATTTTCTGTCATTGAAGATCTTTCCACATGCACTATTTTTAAAATTTTATTAAAGAAATATAGGTGAATATGTATAATTCAGAGGTTATACTGAAATAACAAGAAGATTTTCCATAGCACTTGTGCAATAATTTTGTCCTCAGTATTGAGGACAGCATCAAAATGGGTTTTAGAAAGAGTTAAGAGGGCTGGGAAAGGGACAGTCAAACTCCAGAGAAACTGCAGGAGTTTGTGGAGAAGCCTTTTTCTTTGTTCATACTTCTAACTTTCTAGAACATCTGCCTCCACAGTGCTGAGCGTGTATGGAATTTACACTGCCAGAAGCAGCCCAGTCTCCACAAATGCAGCAGTAGAGTTTTATAAATAAAGTATCAGAATAGTAAATAAGGTCATCCTTCGTGCTGGAACAGCCAATCTCCATCTCTAGCACAGCCAACACAGGCAAACAACTGTGTCAGAAAGCAACCTACTTTGCTTATGTCTAAAACAAAATTTGCATATTATGAAAATGGGAGGCAATACAATAACATAAAACAGTTTCAGTCAGCAGAAATGTATGCTGCAACACTCAATTGCAGCTGGGTGAATTGAGGACTGTGTTACACATTTAATATGTTTTTCCTCTCACTTTGCAAGTCAGGCTAGACTTTTTTTAGTATTAGAAGTTCAATCTAAAAATTATTTGGAAATGTTATCATGAAATAAATTAATTCCGACCGTAATTTTTACCCTTAGAGAAGCACAAACACAAGTTGTTTTATCAAAACTTTATCTCCCTACTGTGGAGGATAGATAGGGAAAAAAAGAACTACATGCTTTTTTTCCTTCCTGTCTGAATTTCCTGCACAGCAGTAACACCAGTCATATTTGAGGAGCTCTATCACACAGCTATTACCAGAGTCAAGCAATGTCTTGTTCTGTACAGTACTGAGCTCTGACAAAAGTTCCAAACAGTGATGCTTACTGTACAAATAGTATTATCAGACAAAAGGTGCCATACATCTTGCCAGCTCACTTTACCCGGTGCATTTTCCCAATAAAAGGTTACTTCTCTTTTTTTCTCATTAACATGCCAGGCCCTCATTTTGCCCATAATTGCTTATAAAAACTCTATCCTACAACTACTTTTGAAGGCATCAACATCATCACTATGCAAATTATTTGAATTATCATTCCTAAATACAAACTGCTTTTTTCTTGCTGTAAATACCATCCCATTAAAGTCATCTTCATTTCACAAACCACTTTCCTATGACAAAGAACTTTCAGTATGCTGAAGCAGTTGCATTACCATTTACAAGCCTGCCACTATTCAATTTTTCCTTCACAGTTTGTATTTAGAAAAGGCTATCCAGAAGTTTACATTAGGTTAAACAACTGTGTTTCTTAATGCTTGGAAGGCAGCATCACAGAGCATCTGTAAGTCATGACCCTCATTCTGAAATACAAGGTTAAGGGGTTAATATATTGATTTGGATAATATATTGATTTGGATCAATGCACTATGTTCACTTTATAATAAATAAAAATATAGATAATCTAATTTGAATGAAAACTAAATTGCTCAAACTAGTACTCTTTGATTGCTAAATCAAAGTTAATCTCAAGGTATACAAAAGAAAAGTCAGATTTCAAAGGACTGTAAGACTGTTAGAATCTATGCGGCCCGATCACTTTCTCTTAGGACTGTTCCATGAAACAGAACTGAATAGATGTGGCAGACTTTTCAAACGTGCCATAACTTTAATGAACTTCCTAGCTCGTTTTTAAGTCAAGTCTGAATTCTTCTGAATATCCCCACAGGCTTCTGCAGTTAGGCACCCAAACACCCAACCACCCAAGATTAGAGAGCATTTTAGTAAACATAATATGCATTCAGCAGTTTCCTAAACAAATACTTGTAAGCATTTAACTCATTCTTTGCAGAGCACCATGGAATAAATAAACACATTAAACTTCACATGGAAAAGATCTGTTTGGTGTTTCTGCTGCGTTAGAAAGGTCACATTTCATATTTTACAGTGCACAAAAGAAAAATCATTCTCTAAATGACTTCAACCATGAAATGACAGAAACTGAAACCTCTGACTTACTGTAAGGTGTTGTATCAGTTGGGTCAGGAGGTGGGAAGTTTTCAGTGAAGTTGACATTACATAAGTCAGTGCTACAACAGCAGAACCGATATGTTCCATTCTGAATCAAGGAAGGGGTGGTTGTAACTATGCACTCCTCAAAGTGACACTCCTGTGGGTCTCCTATATGAGACCAGCATCCTGTAAACAGAGGTAAATTATAATTATTCTTGTATAGGGGGCATTAAATTAATTAAATTAATTAAATTAATTAAATTAATTTTATTGCATGGACAATTTAAGCACATCAGTAAAAATCAGTACCATATAATACTGAATTATACGATGCAATGGAGCAGAAACAGTTACCATAATTTGTTTCATGATTTCACTACTATCTTTTAAACCAACAACTGATAATTTCTTTCAGAATCTGTGATAGACAAGGAGAAGAAACAGAGGCAGTGGTACAGATCAACATTAAAGGTGTTTACCCCAGTATGACAAAACCTGAGTTCTTGAGCATTCTAAGCAGATATATCCTACTCTCCACTTCTCTGATACCAAGACAATACCACTACCACCTGATCCACAGCCAAGACAAAACTGTAACTTAGTTGTCTTCTTACAGCTAGAAAACAAGACCACATCAATAATTTGGTGCTTCTGGCACAACTTCTAACAATTTTGTCCTTCTCATTGTCAACTGGAATCTTACTGGAATCTTCTACCACATCTTATTTCCTGCATAGTGCAGGCTTTGTTTTCCTACAGCAATTGTCCCTTCTCAAATACAGCCAATGACAATTAAGCATTGTTTATGAACAAGTGCCTGGAACAGAAGAAGGCAGAGTAGGGGCAGAAGCAAGCAACCAAACTGAACTGCACATGTTTGGTCACTGGTTTTCATTCTGTTCATACATTATACTACATTAACTTGTACCCAAATAACCTAGCAGAGTCCCTGAAACTGGAAATCAAAGCTCACCTTCAGCAACTGCATGACATTCCTGCCATCATGCTCTCAACAAAAGAATAATGAATTAAGAAACAGTATGGCACAGTTTTGTTCTAGAGCTGCAGTTCCCTTTGTTAACAAACATCCAATCAACCTGAATGTACATTTTTAAAAAGACATTCACTTTTGAATTTATCATAACATCAATAAGTATACTAAAGTACACTCAAGACAGTTATCTTCCTCTGGACGTCCTAAACAACGAGTAATATGAGTTTTATTTCCTTTAACTGTATACTGTGCTCTTTCAGAAATAGTTTATTTCAAAAAACTTCCTGTTCATTTTCAAAATTGCTAAATGGGAAGTCTAATTACATTGCACAAACAAAACAACCAATTTTGCAGAAGAGCATCCTCAGATTTATTTGCTGCATCACAAAAAGCTGAAGAGTAGCAAAAACTAGCGCACTTACCACAAAATACCACATACCTTGCTTTACCAGATGTATGTCTCCTTCCCGTGTTTTTTCCCAAAGTCCATAGCAGGTACTGCCTTTCATGCACAAAATGGTGCCATTCTCTTGGGAGATTCGGCTCTCACTGATCCCATGGTCCTGCTGATACGGGTCCTTAAATGCACACAGCCGCTCCTCACTCTGCGCAGCTTTAGACAAAGAAAGAAAAATATTTTTTGTCACTGACTTCATTCATAAAATTCTAGCTTTAATTACAGGAAGACTACTGTCTTCTGGAAACCTATGTTTCACAACATCATGGACTACAAATTTTCATTCTTTAAACTGTACTCCAACTTCAGGATAAAAATCCTGAAGTTACTTCTATAAAAAGGTCAGAAAAACCTCAGACGCTGTTTCAAAATAGATCTGCAAATGTTTGAAGAAAATTTCATTGCACAGCCTGCATCATTTGTTCACAAGAGTAAGTTATGCAACTGTTAGCTGGTTTCTTCTGCAAACACGAGTTACTTAATTCTTCCCAGGTTGTAAACTAAGCCAACCTTGTTCGGAGTGCCATCCAACCCAGTGCTACCTTACCACAGTGTCATGTTCTCCCTTCACTGATCGCTATTTTTTTTTCCACATTTTTTCCATAAGTTGCACTGACTTCTTTTTCCTCAGCAGCCCACTAATTTGGGCTATTTCATACAACATTTATAACCACCAGCAGAAATACAAACAGCTGAGTGAAATCCATACACTCCAACCAATGAATCTGTGGAACACTGAGTGTATGTAAGAGCAAAGCTGTACAAAGGCTATCCCCACAGAACATCCAGCAGGAAGACCTTACGTACCAAACGAGCACAAAAGTTAATACACATGATCACCTGAGAAAATCCGTGAGTTTTTTATTTAATTTAAAAAAAAAAAAATCACAGAGAGCACACTGATTTTAAGAATATTTGATTGACAAGCTTCAAAAATTGAGTATCCTAAAAAGTCAGATGTTTTACACAAAATTACTGTGGGAATTTTTGTTTATGTTGCCTTCAGTAAAGGACTCAACCAAGTTGATAGGCCTCTATCATCTTTTCTCTAGGGAGAAAAAACACATTCAAATAACAAAGTCTTTAGAAAAACAAGTCCAAGAAAAATAAATCCTACATTTGTAGTGAATATGTTATTTAGACTATTTTCATTCTTCACTAGGATATGATTTTATAAAATGCTTGGAAAATCAGATGTAACACAATAAATGTTATTCAGAAGTACAGCTCTGCAAAGACCCCATCTCAGATGCACTCTGCATCTCAACGAGTAGACTTCATCCTGCTCGTAGACTCACGTGAAAGCATTGGGAGCAGAAAAATACAAGGTTGAGTAGGTAACAAGTGGTATTTTGGGAAAAGTGATTCTGAACTTACAATAAAATTGTAGAATATTATTGTCAATTACTAAAGGTACTGGCTACCTGCAAAATAGCTGAGATTCTGCAAGGCAGACTTACTGCAAAAATGCTGTTTCATTGTACTATTGGTGCAGATGATTTGGTAACAGAAAGACAAAACGAGATCTAGATTCAGATATGTGTCTCACTTGTAAAGCTGCTGCTATTCATTGAAGAGTCAAAACTCAATATTCTCTTTTGCTGAGGCAACTAAAAATAGCTATACTATCGAGAGAAGCCATCTGACAGTGACTCCTAGCTCATTCTGCAGCAGCAGTAATTAAAACAGCACAACTTAGTGTGCTTTTTAATGGTCTGGTGGGGTGTATATGATCAGTTGAGCAGGTCAGCTTAGTAGCAGTACAACCCTCAGCGGACTTGACAGGAACTTCTTAACTCCACTGTAATTCAATCACTTGCAGCTCCACACAGCACTAATCTAGGCTACGCTATTCATCTGCCTTCCTATGCACTGATCAGTGTACAATTTATCCTTTACATCTGCAACCTGAGCTTTGAGGCATTCATTCATTAAAAGCAGGAGCTGCACATTGAGAAACTCAGTTGCACAAATTTCAGATCTAACTCTTTCTTTCTAAACGAGTAGAATTAATTGAGTTACTGAGGACAAGAAGGTCATATTTTAAGATCCAGTATGTGCTGCCTCAAGCAGCCCTTGCCAGTAGCACGCAGTACTTTTATTCTCAGGAACAGCTGAGTATGCCAGGCGTGAAGCATCTGTCCTACATTCCCTGCTCCACGACTCTGGGCTGGACAAGAAATAATGTAGGAAAGGGTAGCAATCCACTACTGCAAGAGAACAGGAGCTGTCTAACTTTGAAAATCAGAAAGGAAAAAGATTACCATTGACATATAATTTTCAAGAAGGGAATAGGACAGAACCACAGGTTCTTATGAAACATGATGCATCTGCTCCAAGGGATACTATGAAGGTTTTTAAATCAGTTGAGTGCAATAGCAGAATGGGACGAAGGTCACTCGTATTGTTGCTTGTTTTACTGACTGCTTAAAATTGCTACAGGATGAGCTTCCATGATTTGCCCTTATTGGGAAAAATAGATTAAAAAGAACTGAATGTACAAAACAGATTTGATTATCAAAATCAGACAGATTTGGTTATCAAGAATCTGTCTTATTTTATGTTTTTGTTTTTTGTTTTTTGTTTTTTTTTAATTATAATTTTTTTGGGGGAAAACTAAAACTCCATGGAATTCCAAGAAAAGACCAGTTTCATAATACCTCAACTGATTAAAAAAAAAAGAAAAAAAGAAAAAAAAAAAAGCTTTCTCTCAGAACTAAGCAGGATGGAGTGGGGAATTATTGCTGTTATCATTATCATTATTTTATTTTCCACAAACAAATTTATACGGTACAGCATGTCCTGAGGCATACACCACTTCAACTACTATTTTTCTGGACTCTTCACTTTACCACTTTTCTAGCTACCTATTAGCATCACGTTTGAGAGGCAAGGGCTTGATGAAGCCACTTGTAAAAACACAAGTTGTTAACTGTTGTGCTTGATGCTGTCCAACTGCACACTACAGAAAACAATCATCACTACTAAAGGTTTTTTCTGATTAGAAGAAAATGTACAACAATATCTGCAGAGGTAAGGAAGAGGTAAGCATGAGAAAACGACAGCATATAAGTGCCTGTCTTTATCAGTTTTCTAGCATGCCAATAAAAATGCAAGTTCACTTGCCACAGTTTAATGCCAGATGATCTCAGCGGGAAACTTTTCCAATGCTAATAAAGGTTACATACCCAAGAACTAGAGTTTTCACCCTGACCTCTGCACATTCATGCATCGATTATAACTGAGAGTAGCACAGCCCCTATGGGAGCAGTACCCACAGCAACACTCTGCTGAACTCTGCCCCTTCCCTGATGGCTTGGAACATCTGGGGAGCAGGAGTTCTTTCTATGGTCTGTGTAGGTTCATTGTTGCAGTTCTAATGCCACGGAGAATTGGGTGGGACATTCAGATCTCGAGAAACCATCCGGAAGAACCACAGAATAGATGAGTCACTTCAATTTCCTTGCACGGTTTCTGCACATTCCTGCTCTGGGAATCTGGTAATACAGTTTCATCTGCCAGTCAGTGGAACAAGTCAGTTCCAAAAACTTTTAGTATCGGAAAACCTGAAGTCAGGCCCTGGAAGCAGTCACTAGCCTACATGAGTTTGCCTAAAACCTTCCTTCACCAAAAATGGAGATGCCACTATGAAAAAACACGAGGGTGCTGGGGTGTCCTAAGTTGTATTCCAACAGAACTCTCAGTCTTCATGCACAATGCTGCTGCTCCTCTGCCTGTAGGCATGCTCCTCGTAGCCGACCTTCTCTGTCAGCTTCAGTCTGCTCAGGGGCCAAGAGCCGAGCCAGGTGCAGGCTGAGCTGGGCCTCAGACACCTCTCTGCATCTTCAAACCAGTGAAAGAGGCCACTTACAGGTTAAGCTAAGCATCTCCTCAGACTGGAAATGCCCAGCACTGCGCTCTGCTAACAAACCCGACACCTAGCACCAGAGCAAGCAGTGGAACATGTTTTCAAGGTGTTGGTAGCACTGCTGAAGCCATTTTTCAGAGCTCTCCTCTTATTAAGAGATATCCTGTAGCAACCCTGTGACAGCCCCCTTCATCTTTTTACTTCTGCACAAGCTAAGCATCATGAAAACAACTGCACTAAAACCATTCATTACAGCAGTTGCTCTAATTAATGTGGAAGTCTGTAGCAACTCTTTCATCGCTAGGGCTAAAACATAACAGAGAAAAAAATGCCAAATATGTGTACGTTCTTCCAAAGATTCCACACCTACTGGATCAAATAAACAACCTTTTTTGGTTGAGAAAGTGGGGTGGCAGGGAAGAGTCCTCTGGAGAGCGTTCACTGTACTTAAATCAAAACTATCTGATCAATCAGTATGCAATCAAAGTAATAATTTCCATATTTCTGAAATTACAAAGAAAAGGAAGAAGACACATTAAATGCTACTGCCAAAATGGGAAAAAAACACTTTTTTTAAAGTATGTAAGAAGAAGGATTTTTGAGGCTTTCATTGTCATTTAAAAAATGTGGGTTTTTTGTCACACAGAACTCATACATTCAGATCTTTTCTAATTCACTTTCAATAACACATGCAGTGAGATTTTCAAACAAATGACAAGGGAGTGCTTACATGTCATAAACCACTGAAAAATTTGCCATTTCAGACAACTGGAAATAGATGGGGCTAATGATGAAAGGGACAAAAGAGTAAAATTTGAACAACTAGTAAAAAAGATTTGAAATGCCTATTTTCCATTTCCCTTGAACTTGTGTGCCAAACTATAACAAAATAATTTAATAAAAATAATGAAGTTAGCTCAAAATTCAGTTCTCTCATCCAGCAGGGTTTTCCAACAAAAACAAGAATGAAAGGCACCATTCCCAAGAAGTGGAGCAAGCGCTTTACCTCCTTATCACAGAAAGGAAAAAAAAAAAAGAAAAAAGTTGGTTTTCCCAGCCCATTTTACATTTCCATTTCATGCAAAAATGAACTTTACAAAGCTAGTTTCAAAGTTTCATGTTTAAAACATGAGCAGCATTAAACCGGGTGCTCAAGTAAGTAACCTAAGGAACACCACGTGCACTCAGCTTTCTTGTCTGGTGTTGTTCCTGCTGCACCTGATGATCACACACACTGTAACAGACTTTTTGAAGACACCAAAACCTTACTGCCATATTCTGACAGAAG